AAAGGAATTAATAGAAAAGTAAATGTTACTAAACCAAAGAAGTAATCATAATGTCATACTATTCGCACAACTATTATATAGCTATATTAACTATATATATATAATAATAACTTTAACTAGTAGGCGGTTTACGTTATTATCATATATAGATATATATATATATATAGTTAATATTGACACTTAAGTTATCAAACATAAACTTGATATACAGCTGCCAACGGACCTAAATATCATATGTATGTTTTAGTGTTAAAATTACTACACACTTGAAAATAATATGATTTATTTACAATGTTTATATATATATATATATATCTGATTCTTTAAACAGAAAATTTCATCTTAAAAGAAATAATTTTTATTTTTGAAATGGACATTTTCTAAGCCTGTGTACATTTTCTCTTCAGAAATTCTAAAAAGAAGTCACTGTGATGTGTAGTAGTGTATGGAAATTTAGTCTCAGGTGTAACTTGTTCAGTTTCAGTTGACATTAAAATATATTTTTGAGGCATTGTGGATTTGATCAGTTTTCCCTGACAATTGAATTGTTGGTGAATTAAAGAATACCTGTCTCTGTGTCAGAAAATATATTGTTATGACAGCAGAAGTCACGTGACGCTGATGAGTTTCTCGACCGAGTGTGATTGAGATGCCCTCTTCGTTGGTATATATAAGCTTGGCAGAATAAGCCAGCGGATATAAATAAAGAGAGAGAGCATTAGTTACTTTGAGTTCCATGTAATTTATGATTCTGTTAGTTTCTAACTAGTGAGCCATAACGTGTGTGTGTTTTGCACTCGTCGAGAGCGAAGTTATCAAGATTGTGAATCTCTGTGATTTATACCGTTTATTATAAAAGTTGTTAAGTTTAAAGTGACGAGAAACATACTGATTGTGGAACTTCTGTGTACTAAACGTTTGTATCAAGGAAGAATAAACTGGTTTAATCAAGAAAGGACTTGTATTGTTGAAGATTCTCGGAAAGAATATCTACTGGAAACAAACAAACAGATACATAACAATATTTAAAGACTACACAATAGTTTTATTAAACTTAACACTTAGGGTAAATAGAAAATAATTATTGAGGGATTTTGAATTTTCATTAATAGACAAGCCAACAAATAACTAGCCTTGCATGTATGAGACAAACAGTGTTTAAATTGATACAACTAATACTTGCTTTAAATAAAGCAGTACAAGTCTAATATGTAATAACACAAGTATATCAATGTATGATTGTGATATATTGTTCCAAATGTCCTCTGGTACTTCTCACAATTCAACCCAGTTGTTTATTTACCATTATATCATGAGAAATTCAAAAACATATGAATACAAAGTTCTTTAATAATCAGATTATTTGATATCTGTTACTTGTGATAAATAAATATTTCATTGAATATTGCTGTAAATACTGAAAGGGATAGCTAATTTATACAGACACACCCCAATGAAAGAATAGACCATTCCAAGCTTTTACTTGTTGTTAAACAAATGTTTAAACAACTCTGTTCAACTAATTTAGACCTTGTTTTTGTGTTGTAAACATATTTATATTTTTTGAAGTACAAGCAGATATATTTTTTCTAGGTCCTGTATTTATTGAGTTTCCAATTGATGTTTTATACCCCTATCATATTGTTAAGAAAGAAATTGGGTTGAAAGAGGCTAAAACCCTCACACACCAAATAACAAATTGGTAAGATGCTTATTTAACTAGTTTTTTATATTTGTATATTCAAATTGTATGTCTTAACATGCATGATTTTTCTTACCACTTACAGGTATACTGTTTTCCTATGATTAACATTTATTTTATATTTAATAGCAGCATGTTGATATTTAGATGTGTACTTAGAATTTGTTTACAAGATGTATTTTTTGCCTGTCTTTACCTATACTTAGTATGTATATGAATAGACTAAGCTTTAAAATAAGATGTTTTTCAGTGACTAAATGTTGTAGTGTTGCATAACTTTGCATAGTCAGCAAAAGAATATGGTATGGAGATATGCACAGAAAAGAGCAAAGTGATAATCACTTATATAGCTAGCATTGATAATATAACACTGTAGGAGAAGGGGAAATATAAAAGGGTCAGCAATTTTAAATATCTTGGAACAAATATTACAGAAGACACAACATCTAAAAAAGAAATAACCAAATTGGCTTTAGCCACAGGACAACTTGCCAAACTTAAGAAAATTTGAACAAGTGAGGGCATCACTTTAAAAATGGAATTTAACATTCTTAATGCTGTAGTTACCTCTAAAGCATTTTATGTATGTAAGGCATGGGCTTTTACAAATAGATTGGAAAATATAGTGGAAGCCTTCGAAATGAGATAATTCAAAAGACTTTTGCGCATTTCTTATACCATGCATAGAAGAACAAGCAAGTCAGGTAAAATTGACACCTATGAACCATTAACAGAAATGGTTTGATCATGTTACGAAAAAACCAGGCACCCTTGCAAATACTATCCAGCATGGGTCTGAGAAAGGGTAGTGCAAAAGAGGAAGACCAAAAACAAACTGGATGACAAACATAAAACCTCATCAATAGAATGTGTGAGAATGGTTAAGAATTGGGAAACTTGAACAGTTATAATGGCTGAATCAAAGGTGATCCAACAATTGGAATGGTCATAGGTCTAACATGATAACGTTGGATGTAATCAACTACAGTTATATTACAAAAATATTTGGAATAAGAAAATAACTTCAGATATAAAAATTAGAAATAGTTCATAAAAAATAAGGTTCTTATTGTTTAGAGTTTTTAAAACTTCACAAAGCATTAAAAATGCTTTTTTTTTTGTGATATTTATCATGTTGGTAATGAAGTTCATTGCTAAAGAACTTAAGAATTCACCAATTTCAAAGTACTAGGAGGAGTGTGACTTATCCAAAATATAGTCTTTGCTAACATGTATTTGCTGTGCTATATTTCTGAAAGAAAAAAGTCACAAAATTCCAAGACTTTTTTGCACTGATGAAGTTTTTAAAAAAATTGTATTTTTCTACTTTTGAGAGAATTTACTGGAAGGCCCATTTGAAGCCCTGGTATCAGTGTTGACAAGTCAGATATCAGTTGGCTTATCATACAGTTTTTGGGAAGTCAGACAATAACTGATTAATCTTGAAGTGATTAACGAGTGCAAATGTGGAGAGAGTGTTGGTTTAGATAAGCTTCTATTGGTGGAGAGCTGCTGCATAATAATTTACATGTAGATATGCAGAAGTGGGAAGTGGAAGGCTAGTGACGAGCATTGAAAATTTGCACCAGTAGAGGGCAGCAACAATCGAGAATAGCTATTTTGTGAGTAGAGGTAAGTCTCTATCAGAAATGCATTTACAGTTTAAGAAAATGTTAAATTTCCTGCAATGAAACATACATTGGAGAAACAGGAAGAAGACTCGGGACAAGAATAAAAGAACACAAAGATACCACAAGACTCATGCAAATACAAAACTTAGCTATAATGGAACACACGTCATCTGGACACAAAATAAACTTGGATAAAACTAGAATCATTGGGACAGGCAAATTTTGGAAGACAAGAAAAATTAAAGATTCTTTCTACATTAACACAATGGAGCTTTTACTAAACAGAGATCAGGATTAGAGGTGAGCAACCTATGGCTACCATTGGTAGAAATCACATATCCTCCACAATCCACCAGGACACTATAAAAGATCTGCAACAGCTTGCACACTGACCTGAAGATGCAAGACAGAAAACTTTTGAAATGTCATCTACATTTTTGTTTTTCTATAACAGGCAGTTGCCATGCATTCCAATATACTCATCATGAATACTCTGCCAGAGCAAACTATCAAAGAATAAATTTTCAAGAGTTTTGAAGTCCTACGCTGTAACATAACAAGAGTTCTTTTTTGTGAAGATTTTGTTTATAATATTCCATTGGTGGAGGAAAAACAAACAAACAAACCCATTCATATATTAATGGAAGCTTGCCATGTTGAGTGCAATGTTTTTTTGTGAAATGACACTGAATTTTAATTTTACTAATATTCTCAGATAAACTAAATCTTGAAAAGAAAGAACACTATGTTTTCTTGATGTAAATAATCTATAGACCTGTGTTATCTAACTAGGAATTCTGAGTAGGCTTCAACCTTGTAGTAGCTTCATCCCATTAAAGTCAGTAGTATTTGATGGGTTGAAAAATTAGTATCATGTTATTCATTTTAAAAATTTAAGTGATAAGATTTGTATTTAAAGCAGAGAAAAAATTGGTGCTCAGGCAAAAAACAAGTGTGAGCACAAAAATGTTGAGCTCCACTTTTATCACCTCTTCTTATGCTTGGCAAATCTGCCTTTCCTAGTGACATTGTCTTGCTGTGTTCATGTAAATCTGTGTTTGTTAACATGCCTCAACCTGTTGAACTGTAAACATTAGATAATGGAAAATTTTGCTGTTTCAAGTTGATAAACCTAATCTGATTATCAGCATAAAGCATTATTAATAGTACTTAGTGTTTTTTTATTTTCATTCAATATTTGACGATTTCTACCATTTTGAAAAACCAATTGTCTGTGGTATCATCTTTAAAACAATTACATGATCAATTTGCACATCTTATCTTTTGCCCTTCTGTTGAGATCCAACTAACATTTTTTATAATTTTGTAATTAAATTTTTTTGTTGTCTGTGAAATGGACATGGAGCTAGGATTTAACTGTATTTTTATTTTGAACATTTTTTTTCTTGAAATATAAACTTTTATTATAATATGTAAGCATACATATACAATCTATAGTTTGAATGTTGTCTAGTTCATTGTGAAACATCTTATGATCATTTACTAAATATACCTACTGTCTGTATCAACAGTAAATATTAAATTTTGTAAAATATCTTTATTAGGTACTTACAGAAATACCTTGACAACATATTTGCAGGAGGTTTTGAACAACATGACATGACCCCCTTACCTGTAGAAATTCTCCAGGCTAACCAGAATAAAGGTAGTTTTATTAGTTACAGGTACTTGTTCTAAAAACAAAAATAATCTCAAAAAACCTAATTAAAATATTCAGGCAGTATGCTACATTTATAAACATGTAAAAATGGGTTCTTGTCTATAAAAATAACTCAAAATCAATAAACTTTTTCTTAAAATAAGTCTGGTGTAATCAGTTCCATTAAAAATACTGTGTAAATGTCTTAACAACTTGTTACCCACATGGACATTTAGTGTCTAGAACAATATAACATAAAGTAAGATATCATTGTTTTTGAAATTTTTCTTAGAACTTTAACTCTCTTGTACTATAAAAAGTATTTATAAAAAGAAACTTTATGCTCAACATTTTACCTTTGTTAAGTGCAAGTTTTTAAATAGTTGTAAAATGAATTTCATTGTATTTTGTGACAAATTTTCAGACTTAAGTTGATCCATTTTCCTTGAAATGTACTTTGGTTTGTGCAAATGTTTTTTATTCTTCATATTTTGAAAAAAAAGCTACTTTGATAAAAAAAATTGATATGATAAAAAATTAAAGTGCTAAATTGAAGTCCTTTTGTGTTGAAAAGTTTAAAAAATAGAAGTAATCATTATAATACATATTTTTAAGCAACTGATTTAAATATGTTTTACTCTCTTAAGCAAAATATCTAGGCAAATTGTTTTTAAAGTTCTGTAGCTATTTTTTATGTTTTATTGGGAAACTTCAGTTTTTTAACTCTATATCTTTCTTATTACTACATGTACCCCTTTTTTTAATATTCATATTAAAAATTGTTTGTCAAAGACATTACAAACTTAATTATGATTATGAAAATTTGTAGTTTATGCACTGGCCATAATTTAAAACTAAAGTTTTAACCATTTTGCCCCTTTAATACACATGACAGAAAGTTTTAGTGTTTTACATTCAAAATTTTATAAAACTACTTTTTGTTTTTGTTATACCAATTAGTATAGCATATAATCTTAGCTAATAATCCATATTTTAATAGTATATAAGTTTTAAGTTCTTAATTTTACAAGGCAATATTTAAAAAATCCTGAATTTCCCATAGTGTGACACACATGACACATTTTCTCTGGGCATCTTGTCTTCTCTATTTTATCCATTTGCCCTTTAAAAAGTACGAAATTAAATGTAAATTACTCTCTATAGAATCATCACTGCTCAAATGAACCATAATTTTTATAGCCTTCAATTTTGTTTGGTTACAGAGCTATAAATAGAAAATCACACACCTTCTGCCACACCTACCTGTCACAATCCTCTCTTTCATACTTTGTTAACAGTTCTCTTTTACACTTACCCCTCGACGTGGATTCCTGTACGTGGTGAGGGGACCTCCCAGGGAAGGTTCTGTACACGGGTCGCCGCGCACGGCAAACACCCACTCAACCACCAGGATCCTCTCCTCCCCTTGTGCTGCAGTGCCCCAGACAACACCACTTTGGCCTTGAATTCCTGT